AAAAGCAAGACATAGAAAAATGAAATAAATGAAACTTACCATAGCGTACGCCCATCAGCATGCAGGAGCGTTTTCCCTTTGTCTACAATGCTCTCTGGTGGCTTGTCATAAAGAACAATCTGAAAAGAACATAATATATGTCACCTTGACCCATCTTTGAGAACAGTATTACAACTAAAACCAATTACTGATCTATGTCATAAAGTTAATTTTCTATATGTATTTCTGGTTTCAGAGCTCATGGTCTCTAAATGCTGAGAGGATGGTAATTTTGATCTAATATATTTCAATGTCTGAATACAAAAATAAAAAATTTAGACAAAAGCTCTGGTAATGTTTTTCTCTGAATACTATTGTTAGAAGCTGAAGCAAAAAATATGTTAATACTATACTGGTAATGTTTTTCTCTGTATACTATTGTTAAAAGCTGAAGCAAAAAATACGTTAAAAACACATTAAACTATATTCTAAACCTCACCATGCATACTGCCTTGAAGATGAGATCCATATTGTCTTTATTAATGCCCGATGTAAAGTTCTGCTTCTGAATTCTAGCCCATTCCCTTCGTTCAATGGCTGTGAGGGCAGCAACACTGCGTTCGCTCTCACTTACACTCTCTGTTCAAAAGACAAATACTAAATTAGTCACATTCATTTCTATTTCAGCTTTTTGATTTCATGTTTCCTTGTTCTTTTTACCTTCTGTATTCTCAGTAGTAATATTTTTCTTTCTTTTAACCACTGCCTGCTGAAAAAAAGTCCATACATATCTGAAAATTACTGATGTGTTTGTGAAGTTTACTTAATATTCCAGGTAAAGTTATCTTTCATAATTATGAAAATATAATACTGCTCACCCTTGTGTTTGTCTGCATCATCAATAATATCTTGGAAAAGTCTTTCCAACTCAGCTGGAGACAGTATCTGGTTCTTGTCATCATATATATTAAGTTGATAGAAAAGTCCCTGTCTCCACACCACAACATGTCGAGATTCCGTAGAGTCAAAATGGAGTAACTCATCTATTTCCTCACCAGGAACTCTGTAGTGTAGACATAAATTTTTAAATGGTACTGAATATTTGGTAAAAAATTAACACCCTGTCATTTTAATTCTTGAGCATACGGTGAGTTCAGTGACTAAAATGATTTTTCTTTTGGTAATTCCTCTAAATTAGCTACATATTCATGAAGGGTCAACAGCACTACTTAAAAGTGTTAGATTTACAAATGCAAAAAGGGCATTTTATTCACTTAAAACCCATTCATCTTGTGACTACTAACCGAACAGTAGAAAACAGTCTTTCATACTGTGCCATGCACACAGGAATGGTATTCCGTAACAATAAGGGAGTAAGCTCTTCTCTGTCTATTTGGCGCTTGAAGTACAAAATGGAATGGACAACATTAGCTGCTCTTGAGACCTGGAAGCAATTGTTGAAGTTTGTTAATATGAAAACATTCCGATTAAATACTGTAATGCAAATACTATATATACATCTCAAATCTGATATACTGTAATTCTAACACTAGGACAGGAACAGAGTATATTTCAAAAGAATAGTAATGTATGCAGTTGCCAAAAGGAAAAGAGATATTTTACCACAAACCTGTCTATTTGTTGGAGTCCATATGTAGTGGTCTAAGGCATAGTAGTTTGAATTGATTGCTAGGGGTAGTCGTGACATCAGGTACACATATTTTTCCCTGAAAAGAAGAAGAAAAAAGTTAAGTTAATAAAAAAAACTTACTTGGTTACCATATTCTTTTTAAAATAAACTTTAATATTTAAACTTAATCTTAACCCATTGCCGCCGGGGAAAATGAACAAAAAATGGAGAGAATGCAGTACTCATTTTTTATATTTTTGTGAAATATCTCTGTCCATAGATGGCTCTTCTAGTCCTGATTTCACCTGTCCTTGAATTGGCGGGAAAAAAACGTATTTTTACTAGTGCTATAAATATAGATGGTGTTATTTTTAACAGCAAATTAGGATGTTAAATATTTTCGTAAATCGATGAAAAGGGTGAATGGGCGAGACAGGCAGTACTCGTAATTGGCTAATTGGATACTTAGTACAAGTGTAGCCATCTATGTGTAAAAACTCGCAGTGGACATGTCATGTACGTACATGCCATCCCCGGCGGCAATGGGTTAACAATACTCACAAGCTTCAACACTTTTACCTTAACAATACAGTGATTTCTTTTAAAATCAAAGCATAAGAATGAAAAACTCACCACCAGTCTGACACGTAATTGGGTGCCCACCACGACTTGAGGTGGAGCAGGCGCTGCAGTCTGGGCCCAATGGTTCCCTCGAAGTCTGCCGCCTCCTTCGAGTACTGCTTGAATTCCTCCTCGGAGCACAGGGGCTTCAGGCTATCAAGGAGTTTACCTGCCCACGGGGAAATGTACGTTAATTTTATCCTAATTCCTTAATGTTTTGTGTTGATAGGTTTCATTCTAGTGAGGAAATCATTAAACAACTACATGTTT